TTTATTATTTCTATGACTTCCAATAATATTATAACAGCTTTTTGGCGTACTAAAATATAAATTTTTCAATGCATTTGCCAAACCGCCCATCGACAATTGCAAAACCGCCTATCTTACGGCACTCAAATTTTACAGGAGAACGAAAAAAAAACTGTTTTTATTTGAAAGCACTGACTTGATAAGCAGTATTTTCTCTAGCTTTTATTTTACAAATCTGTAGTTTTAATAACGATTTATATGCTTAACTCTCGATGCCTGGTGTTCAGGTTTACCAAATCTAATTTTTGCCACATTAGCGATTTAGGCGGTTTTGTAAGTAGTTGATGCCTCCAATTGTTAAATTTCTGAGCATATCCTATGACGAATGAAAATGAGTCTAATCAACGGCGACCTACGATTTGGTTCGGACGATATTTGAAAGATAATCGATAAGTATGTCCGGTTTGGCTGTTTAATGCTAGATACACACATCGGAGAATGGTATCAATACTACGATCTATACCTCACTTGTGTTAGCGTAATACTACGTAGCCAACTACAATATTGATATTGTAATTTCTATACCAAATGTGTATTTTAGTGATAACCAAAGAACATAGTATACATATCGAGGGCTTATATTCAATACTCTCTATCTGCATTTTTCACAAAAATGAGATTCTGATATAAAAATCCATCTACGACTTAACTGTCATCGGTGATATTAATGCTGGCCTTGTATAACGCTTGACAGAAAAATTTACTATTAAATTGCAAAGTCGTAATTAACAGCAGTTATGACAGGTAAGTCCCAGATGGGTTCTAACATCACAAAGTAGTTTTTGTGAAAATTGCATATATAGGGCACTGCATATAAGCCTTCGATATACATATGTATGTAGAGAAGATGCAAGTCGGTCCGATTCTATGGCAAGTTTCGACTTCTTTCACCAACTGAAAATTCCACAGGATTAATTCATATTCTGGTTTCAGCATAAATAAGATTTTGTCTGGTGAACTAAGCCAGCCGCTTGCAAGTAGGGAAATTAAACGAGACAAGGAAAGTCTTTATACTCTACTATCTTTGGTTTAACTTTGCAGAAAACTATGTGAGCATCGATCAAAAAGTAAAATATCCCATTTTTTGGAAATCGCAAAAGACAAAAGTAAGTGGAAATGGGAGTACGGCCGATACACTTTTTCGTAGATATACATATGTATACCGACTTAAAAATATATAACGTATTATTGCATGCACTTTGTTTGCCACTATTTTCGAAGATGCCATTGATTGTATTGATGTGTGCTACTTGTTAATTAGCTTTTGCTAGAGAAAACTGCATGCAAACATTCACACATGTATAATTTCATCTATTTTTTATATTTAGTTTACTGCGCCTTGTATCGACAATAATTAATACACAGTATTACGCCAGAAGTCAAAATGATACATTTGAATTTAAATTAATATTCGGAACACTGTACTACGTATGTACATATATGTATGTAAATATGGATGTACATACATATCATCGTTTAAAGTACAACACCGCGTATAGTGATTCTGCAAAACCGCGTAACTGACATTGGCTGCCAAAAATTGGATTTGCTCACACAAGCTCTTGGCTCAAATCTTATCCATTCGTCCCGAAATATACTAGCAGATATGTGATTGCTTTATAAAAAAATGCGTGTGTAACACCGTACACATGATAGAAGTGAAAGTTCTTAAAAAAGGTGTGAGTACCAGCTACCTATTCACGAAATTGGATGTTTAACATATGTTTATGGTTCGGCAAACCATTAGGCAATTGAGTTACATACATAGCTTTGGTTAGAAATCAAACAATAATTTCATTTTATCTTATTAATTTTCTGATATACATATAATTTATTTACTCATTTTCCGGTAACACCACCTTATATGAGTTCGCGCTTCTAGCATCCATAGGACCGGGTTGTAATGGAAGTAATTGTATGTTTAACAAATAATTCGCCATTACCAAGGCACTAAGTAACGTACGCACTTTAGTTTGCAAAATGCATTTATTTAAGTTGAAAGAAGACAAATTCCTTTGTTCGGCATTTATTCTTACTCGCTTTCTATCTTCCAAGGCGAACTCATATATTCTTATCACGAATTCATATATTCATGTGGTAGCAAGAGTATAAAAACATAAAATTACCTTATAAATTAAAAGCATAAGTATCACATGTATGCGTAGTCCAATTCACGAAATCATTTCATCGATCTGAGTAGAAACTAAGTGCATAAACTCTATTTAGCCTTAATTGTAATCATGAAATCGTGTTCATTCATTCCGTTTCTACGCAAACGCATGAAATGATTTCATGAATTGGCCTACGCATAATGGTAGTAAATGACAGAATGAATTACAACAAACACATCCTTTTGACATAATGCAAGCCGAAAACGTTGGTTCAAATCAATCCGCAATCAAGTTGGACGTTTTGCCCACAAACATTGCAATTTTGCGAGCAGTCTCATTGTAAAATCTCATTTTTACAATTTCATAGTTTCGGNTTCAAGTTGGACGTTTTGCCCACACACATTGCAATTTTGCGATCAGTCTCTTTGTAAAATCTCATTTTTACAACTTCACAGTTTCGGCTTACATTTATAAAATTCAACGAAAGCACGTACCTATTTCGGCTGAGCTATCCATTTTCGGTTATTTAGTGTACAAAATAAATGCAAATTAAATGAGTTTGTACAAAATGCCCATAATGAGCGATAAGTTGTACAACTTGCCAGAAAATCCAATTTTTTTTATCTTTCATATAACCACGACATAAATTCATTCAACAGGCCCACAAACGGTGCAATCTAGAGCAAAACAATTAGTTTGTTCCAGTACTTTTCGGACTAAAACCTGTGGAAATGTCAAACTACAATTTTACTCTCTCTAGTGAGAGTAACAGGAGAACAGATGCAGAAGTGTACGGGAACGCAAATAGCACTTTTACAGCAAAAACGTCATTTGGTTTGCTTACTTGTCATTAGTACAAGACTGATTTGGCTGAAAGATCACTAAATAACTATTAAAATCTATATAATTAATAATAATTGCATATATGTATATTCGAACATTTCATTATTTACTTCCATTTTTTAACAAATGTAAGGTTATTTGCTTTCACCGCGCTCTGTTTTTGTACACAAATGCAACTCTACCTATCGTTTGACACTTTTCATGAATTTGCCAGAAGAAAAACTCCGGACTTAATCTTGAAATTTCATTCTAAGAACAGTTGCTCAGTTACTCTCACGAGAGTGTTCCCAGATACCAAGTTGAACCAACGGTCGCTACGTTTATGGCTTTCTTTAAGAATCGGGCGAGAATTTCAACTGCTCCTGTAACACTACCTTATATGAGTTGGCCTTGCTATCATCCTCACATATGTTCATCAGAGTATACCAACGAAGGACGAGTTAGTAGAAGGAGATAGCGAGAGCACAAAACTACTCTAGACAAGTAAGAAAGTCTAAGTTCGGGCGGAGCCGAACATTAAATACCCGGCGCAGGTACTAAGTATATGATTTTCACCTTTGCGAAAGCTACCGCTACATGGTAAGCCGGTGTATTGAGTAAATTAGCGTCCTTAAATTTCGAAATATTTAAGTTTAAAGCATTTCTGAAATATGCCCTTATATGAAAAGTGGTCGTAATTTGAATTTGATTCCAATAATTTTCAACGTTTTGCTTCTATGTGGCAAGCACAATATCATACCGAGTTTGGTACAAATTGGTAGAACGGTTACCGTGATACATATATATGATCATAAGTGGGCGGTGCTACGCCCATTTCCAAAATTTTACCATAAACGTATTTCTTGATAAAGAATTGTTGCAAGCATCAATTTTGAGTAAATTAGCTTTAATATTTATTGATTTATCGAAGATTTCGTATTTCTCCAAATTACCGTTATATGGGAGGTGGGCGTGGTTATTGTCCGATTTTAAAAATTTTCGGCGATTTGTTATGCTGTAACAAGACTAACAACTGTGCCAAGTTTGGAAGAAATTGGTGCAGCGGCTACCAAGATATACACATGTATCCAGAAGTGGGCGTGCCTACGCCCATTTTCCAAAAATGTATAATATTCTTATTTTTCGTCTAAAAATTATTGTAAATATCAATTTTGAGTGAAGAATCTTCAGTAGTTACTGTGAGGACTAAATATCCGCGGAATTTAGCCCACACGAACGCAAACCCCTACACCAACAATAACGACTACACCGGCAACTACTACAGCAACATCATCGAAACGGCTAACCAACACGAGATACCGTATCAACACTCCTTTGCGACACCGTCACTATAGCAACGCAACATGTAGCCATACAACTCAGCAACACGAAGAACACCAGCTATAACAGATGGGACTTGGCAACATACGAGACAGTCAGCACGGAGCTGTGGTCGTGGACGCACAGCTACTAGAGAATAGCTCTCGACTTGTACATAGGCGACTATACAAGGCCTGGCTGTTCAAAGGTAGAGCGCCGCCACCCCACAGTCAACCGTGAAGCCGCGCGACGGCGACGCCAGTTCGCCTACCAGCCCCGCGCCGACGCCGCCCAGAGGAGCGCACCGACGCCGCCCAAAATCTAAGCGTCGTTAGCGAAGCCGTGGTCGTGAACGCACCGCTGCTAATGAATAGCGCATGTCCTGTACATAGGCGACTATACAGGGCTTGGCTGTTCAAAGGTAGAGCGCCGCCACGCCACAGTCCACCGCGAACACGCGTAACGGCGACGCCCGCTCGCAACGCAGCAGAGAGCCGACGTCGTACATCCGCAGAGCGCCGGCATAAGAACGCCGACGTCACCCAGCAGCCGCGCACCAACGGAGTAACGCCGTAGTCACCCAGCTGCCGCGCACCATTAGGGAGCGCCAACGTCGCCCAGAGTCTACGCGTCAGTAGCGGAGCCGTGGTCGTGAACGCACAGCTACTAGAGAATAGCTCTCGACTTGTACATAGGCNGCAGCATACAACGAACAGGAGGCCCACTGGAGAGACGAAAGTGAACCAAAGATACCGTTAACCGTGAATCAAGGCGAAAGAACCGCTAATGTGCCCGTTAGGCCGCCAACGCAGCGCCAGTTAACATATCCACCACCAACGACATCCATCGCACCAAACGCTGACGTGCTAAACAACGGCAACCATGTGCCTACCGTTACCTTTGCGCCCATCATCGACCAGGTACGCAAGTGGTCGGTGAAGTACGATGGAGGACGCGACCCGTTGGCGTTTGTAGAACGATTAGAGGAGCTGGCCGGCGTCTACACATTAGATGTAGACCTATTACCGAAGACGATGCCTGAATTGCTAAGTGGCACCGCCCTCCATTGGTACCGCAACAACAACGAGCATTGGACTAACTGGGCGTCATTCAAACGTGATTTCCTGCACTTTTTCCTATCGGCCCGGTATTTTGAACGCCTGGAAGATGACATAAGGCAACGGAGGCAGCGCCCGCGAGAAAATTCAAGGACTACGTGATCGCGATTCAAAACCTGATGCGACACGCGGGTCACAGTAGGGAACAACGGCTGGAAAGGATTTTTCGAAATAGCCACCCGGAGTACTTGCTCTACATCAAACGGCGAGATTTTAACACTTTGACGGAACTCCTCACACTCGCAGAAGACTACGAAAGCATCTACGAAAACCATCGGCGGGCCCCAGAAACCGCCCGACGAGAAATAGCGAGGCACGTTGGTGACGACACCATTATGTCACCACCCCAACCGAGACAGGCATTTCAGCAACGACCGCCACCACCGCACCGGGACCGGCGCGATGAAGCCCCCGAGTACAGCGCCGGACAACCAATAATTTTGAGCCAGGAACGCGGCCGCCTCTACGCCCAAAACTCGTTGGGTGGAGCGCCCGCGGAAGCCGTCATCGACACAGGAGCCTCGAGAAGTTTCGTGTCCGCCAGCGTGGCGGAGCAATTGGTTAGCTTGGGGAGAGGCAAAAAGATAACTGTGGCCATAGGAATCCGATGGTACCAGGAACCAAATATCCACAACGCCGTTCTGCATGTCATGCCTGGAGCAATTGACGACATCATTTTGGGCCTGGACACACTAGGGGGAATGGGAGCTACGGTGTCCTGCGGAGTGCACCGCGTCGTATTGACGGAGCCACCTATACAACCCACGTTGACGACACCAAGCGAGCCAACACCAAGCACCGAGGACTCCGAACCACCAACCATGACGAACCATCGCCCACCAAGGAGCAGAAAAGGGAGGCGCCGTACAAGACGACGGTACGCAAGGGAGAGGGTCAGCAGAATAGAACACGAGGACCCCAACCACGAAGATGAGACAGGCCGCATACGCGACTTTCTAGCCGANGCCCCCAACCACCCGCCATGACGAACCATCGCCGACCAAGGAGCAGAAAAGGGAGGCGCCATACAAGACGACGGTCCGCAAGGGAGAAGGTCAACAGAATTGAACACGAGGACCTCAACCACGAAGATGAGGCAGCCCGCATACGCGACTTTTTAGCCGAAGAACTGCAAAAATTCGAGACTATTAGCGGAGTAGCCACAGTGGGAGAGCACCGGATCATCATGACTGACGAACGTCCCATCAAACAGCGGTACTTCCCGCGCAACCCTGCAATGCAATCTATTATCGACACGGAAATCGATGAGCTACTCAAGAAAGGATGTATTGAGCCGTCTCGCAGTCCGCACAGTGCACCGATCGTACTAGCCCGGAAGAAGAACGGCAAGTGGCGCTTATGCGTGGACTACCGGCAGCTCAATGCCCGGTCAGTACCGGACGCATACCCCTTGCCGAGGATACAGCACATATTGGACAAACTGCGCCAGGCGAAGTACA